TTTTTACCAAACACAGGAATCTAACATTCCAGTAATCTAACATTCCCAGCAATCTAGCATTCCCTAAGGTAGTCTACCACTTCGCGAACCAAACGGCCCCTAAGTGTTTGATTAACTAGCTTTTTGTAACTCAAAAATGCTAAAATTCAAAAAGTTGCTCAAAAAAACTTTTTCAATTAATTTTTTGAGAAAAGAAATTATATCAAACAGCTATCAACTAATAGCTAATTTACCAAACACTTTTCTACAATAAGCTAATGCATATCAACTAGTTATACCATCTAATTAACTCAATCAACTAACAACCAGTTACCAAACAGGGCCATAATTTTTTATTTTTTTTTGAATTTTACAGTACTCAATAAATATCTTATCTAATATAATAAATGAAAGAGAAAATGGCATCTCAGTTACCATTTTAAATGGGTAGTCATAGGTTTGAAATTCGGTGGTTTGAGCATCTCCAATCCATTTAACACCAAAAATCTCCACCAAATGTCTCAACAAAGAGAACATTTTCTACACCAAATTTTATTCATCTTCAACCCATTACACCAAAATACCAAATTTTTACATCAATATTATTCTACACTAAAATAATATGGTTTCTCTAAGTTTAAAATTTTATTAATTCGAATTTAATTAGTTTAATATAAAATATAATTTTTTATGTAAAAGAATTAGTAACATTATTTTTATGTTGTTGTTATGTTTGATTTATTTTAATTTTTTATTTAATCTATATTCAATATTAGTCTTGTTTTAATCGTCTGATAAAATCTTTCAAATGATATAATATATTTATAATAATATAATATTTATGTTTAACTATTTAACAAAATATATAAAAGCAGGGGCAAAACAGAAATTAAAATCTTACCCAGAAAGTGTCGTGGATGAACAGTGTTATGCCAAATATGGCGCAACATTGTTCATCAGCACCAAATTATTTGGTGTTTTGCCGTTGGTTGGAGTTCCAAAAAATGAGGGGATGGCACAATGGTACATTGATATTTGGCGGAATGGTGTCCCCTTGGAGATGGCCATAGGGATTAGATTGTTTTGGCTAAAAAGGTATAAAACAGATATTACCTTATAAAGAATTATAAATATTTAAAAAATAAATAAGTAATTTGAAGGAATTTGAATTTTTATTATTATTTAATATCTTATATTTATTTATATTTTGATAACAAAGATTAATTGTTAAAAAAAAAAAAGAATTTGTATTAATAAAAATAATTGTTTAAGGTAATGTGAAAATAGAACCACTTTTAAAATTAAAGTAGGGAGATAATTGTATGTATGAGTTATTAATTAATAGTGATTAATTATAAATTTAGTGATATTGCAGTAAGATCCATTTTGAGACTAAGAGAATATTTTATGAATGTAAATAGGCTAAGTTGAAGATAAAAGGAATAAGGGTCAAATAGTCCATCGAACTATAGACCAAAATGTAATTAGGTCATTGAACTAAAAAAATATGCAATTGGGTCCCTAAATTAACTAATTTCATGCAATTAGTCAAATTTACAAGTTTTTCAGGTTTCTGTCATCCTAAATTTAAAATATTTTTTAAAAATAATTATTTAAAACTAATTAATTAAAAAAAACGTCTCTGCCGGAGATGAAGAAGGTTTCTTCGTCTCCAGCCATGTCTCTGACAGTTTTTTTTTTTAATTTTAAATAATTAGTTTTAAATAATTATTTTTAAAAAATATTTTAAATTTAGGGTGACTCGTTAGAAACTTGAAAAACCTGCAAATTGAACTAATTGCGAAATTTGATAGTTTAGGGACCAAATTGCATGTTTTTTGAATTCAATAGCTTAATTGCATTTTGGTGTGTAGTTTGGTGACATATTTGACTCTTATTCCAAGATAAAATAATGATATATGATACTAGCATTAACTTTTAAAAGTAAAAATCATTTGAAAAGTCCAGATAGCATAAGGTTATTGGGTATGGATATAGGGATTTAATTTGAACTCAATTTCTCCGGGGCAGGCGAGGAAATTAAAGGTGTAGATTACGGTGCAGCTGAGCGAGTTAGCGTCCGTAAACGGAGTAAAGTCGGCATCACAGTATGCTCGCGTGCGTGGTTCGATATTTCCAGAAAAAGGACCGCTCAATCGATCGATCGCTTGGAAGAAACAAATAAAGGTTAAAAGTAATGGGGGAAATGAGCCTAACTGTCCAAATCACACATATATAGTTTCTTCTGCAATATATGCCACAGTGGGTGGCAGGCAGGCAGCGCATACCAACCATAACCCGCCAACAAAATACATATAAAGTCAAAAGCGGAGAAGATTGCGCAGTTGGTAGTACATGCAATGTCAAGTCCACCACATTATATTGGATTGAACTCATCAAGTGCATGATGCATGATGTTGTGGCCAAATTATACTAGGGACCAAGGTAGGGTCCACCGGTTGAACTCTGAGATTACATTCAAATTATTTGATTATAATTCACATATTATGTGTTTTCAGTTAACAGATTATGAATGTCAACGGGACGGGAGCCTGGAGCATACCCCGTACGTCCCGATCACCGAAATCTCACTTCAACCCCTATCCCCGTCTCCATCCCTATAAGAGATGAGAATATTTCCACATCTCCATCCCCATCCCTATAGGGAATTTTCGGGAACAAGAATCTCTGTCCCCGATAAAACATTAATTAAATTAATTAATTTTTTATTTAAATAATATTCAAACTAATATAATTGACAATATTTACGTAAAAAATCTAAAGATTGAATTTTTAATCTTAGAATAGTTAAATTTTAATTATTTTCAAAAAACAATCAAAATGTCAAATATATTATTTAAATAATTTTCATACAAAATATAACACATCTAATATCCAAATACAACACAACTAATAATAATAATAATAATAATAATAATAATAATAATAATAATAATAATATTATTATTATTATTATTATTATTATTATTATTATTATTATTATATTTTAAAAATTGGGGACTAAGCAGGGCGGGGAGGGTATATTCATCCCCGTCCTTGTTCCCAACCGGAATTTGAAAACATTTCTCATCCCCGTTTCTGACGGGGTATTGGAAACATTCCCCATCCCCGTTCCCGTTGGGGCTGGGATAGGGGATACCCACCAGAGACGAAGGAAATTGACATTTTTATAACATATTATGTGTTTGTAAATAAATTGAAAGTACATAACATGTTAAATAGAAACGCATAATATGCTAGCTTGATCAGACACGTAATATACAATTAACATTAATAGTCCTATTTGGTAAATGATTGTTAGTTGTTAGCTGATTGGGTTAATTAGAGGGTATAACTAGTTGATAACATTAGCTGATTGTAGAAAAGTGTTTGGTAAATTAGCTGTTTGGTATAATTTTTTTCTCAAAAAACTAATTGAAAAAGTTGATTTGAGTAGCTTTTTAAATTTTAACATTTTGGAATACAAAAAGCTAATTAACCCAACACTTATATTAATTTTTAAACCAAGTCAAACAACTAATAGTGGTCAAATAAGCCAAAATTGGTCTATAAGCAAATTATTTTACCAAACAGGGCTATTATATTTCTACAATTAACATATTATGTGTTTTCAATTTATTTACAAATAGACAATCTATTAACAAAAGATGCATAATATGTTAATTATAAACACATAATTTTTGGACTAAAATTCCTAATACATGGTGGAGCCTATTCCGTAGTATAACAATTAAGTGTTGTGACATGGTGTACTAATCATATCGAATGTTGTGACATGGTGTACTAATCATATCCAACACCACAAAAATGTATCATCAAACTTTGCCTCTTGGTCTCTTTTCCCTTCACCCAGGGATAAAGGAAAACAAAGACAGGGTTGCTATGTGTGTTTTACACTTGTCAACACTTTACTCTCCTCCATGTGCTTTGCCAAATACCTTCCCAGCAGCTTCACTTCCCTCTCCTTTTGGGGTGGGACTTTAGTGATTTTATTGCTCTTTCCTCTTTATTACTTGTTGACTAACTTAAAATAATATTTACATTCATGATGCCTATGTATATATATAACTATCCATTTCAAGGCGCGATGCGCGGAATTTTATGACTAACTTTAAAACCAAATTTGTAAGTATACTTATTCTATTAGAACTCTACCATCCTAGTTATATATATATATATATATATATATATATATATATATATATATAAAATTTAGTCCAAATGCGGTGTTGCTCTCCCATGCGTGATGCGTTTGTGCGGGCTCATCCGGACCATTGGATTTGCTCATATCAACAGTTGAAAATCTCACTTTTGGCTCTCCAAGAAACAACGCACCGTTGCTCGCTCCTCCACCGAGGCAGAATATAAGCCTTTAGCTGATGTATCTGCTGAAGTGACCTGGGTGGTGTCTTTGCTTCGGGAGCTCGGGATGCACTCTGGACAGCCTGCAACATTGTGGTGTGATAATCTTGGGGCGACTTACCTGTGTGCTAATCCTGTTTTCCATGCCCGCACCAAACACGTAGAAATTGACTATCACTTCGTCCGCGACAAAGTGGCTTCCGGGGACTTCGTGGTCAACTACATGTCTACTACAGATCAGTTAGCAGATATCTTCACCAAACCGCTTCCAGCGCCGAGGTTTGCTGCCTTACGAGACAAGCTCAATGTTGTCATTCTCCAACCTTGTGCTTGAGGGGGTGTGTTAGTATGACTATTATTTGTTATTATTATTTTATATTGTATAGTCATAGTTTGTGTGGTATTAGATTAGCTGACTTAGTTTATTCTATTAGTTAGGATTAGTTAGAGTTTTATTCAAGATATACTCTATAATCCTATTGTTGTGTAATCTGAGGAGACTTCTCTAATCGATAATACTCTAATACTAAATTGAACATCTATCTCAACTAAATTAAAAATTGATAACTGAACTACACGTTATTTAAATATAATAAATAACTTATTAGATGACAGAGAGAATAATAAAGACGAAGAAAGACTTAAAAAGATGTATATATTAAAGTTTTTTGTAGCATTAAAATTCTTTGCTTGTGAGATATGCTTGCTTGAAATAAGTTAGCATCTCACCCACCAGTCAAGCTGGCCACATCCTTGATGGGAACAAGTACTAGCTTGAGGGTAATTAGCAACATTGAACTTAACTAAACATGACCCCATTTATATGGTATTTATGATTTCTAGAAACCCAAAAAAAAAAGTATGAAAAAAGAGAAAAAAAAGAAATACATCCACCCAAAAGCTAAGGACAATAAAGGAAAAACATTCATAATTTTCCAAACTGGGATCATCTCATCAATGGAAAGCAGCCACAGGGACCCCAGCCTTAGCATCAGGTGGAGGAGATGGAAGCAATGTGATGGCGAATATCCCACTCAGTGCTGCCGAAATTGCCCCTACTATAAATGCTGGCAAATTCCCACCTCCAAACAACTGGTCCCAAGGTCCACCCACTAATGAAACGAACATCTGTAATAAAATCCACAAATTTACAAAATAAGTATATGTAATTACTTGTCATTAAAAATATTATTTCATATAATACACATGTCAATTTGTCACTGTTCCAACATCACTAATATATGAACCCATTACAATCTTACAAGCATCCCCAATTGATGGTAGGTGCAAATTCTTTTTCGTTTTCGTGTTATATCTCAGCTAAAAGTTTAGACTGATAATTGAATTACTGTTGAACATATAATTATTAATGTGCAATCTAACTATAAGCTTAGACTTTTAGTTGAGATGAAACACATGCTTCAATTTAGTATCAAAGTCATGTCAAAGATCATGAATTTGAATCTTCACGTCACTCAATAAAAAAGAGCGGTTTCGTGTGGCGTGTTTAGCATATAACCATTCCTTTTTATCAGGTACGCGAATATTTTCAATGGGGACTTGTTGCCTATGCGTGAACCTGCGTGTAATAACTAATACCGCCCCACGTGTTTTCCGCGTTAGGCACTAACATTAATTGACATCTTCTCTACCACTAATATCACTTACTGTTATGTTCTGTTAGGTTAATTAGGGCAATAATATGACCATAAGCTTGAGATTTAGGAATAATTAATTGAACCTATTAAGTCTCTATCTTCTCCATTGATTCCCCAACCCTAAGTGTTCCCACATCCCAGTCCACAAACAGAACAAAATGCCGGTGTGTATAAGAAATTTGTCTATTTTGAATATAATTTTCGCAGTACTGTTGTCGAAGTTTGAACATTGGTCTCTTCTCCCAAATAAGACATACTAAATCATTAAGTTAAACTCATACGGACTATTAAGTCTATCTGATATCATTGAGTATTGTAAATTTATGAACAACTTCTTCTTCTTTTTTTTTTTTTTTTTTTTTTTTCTAAATATATGCTTATTGCTATAATATTTTAATATTATTATAGAGTGATGGTGACATGGAATTTATTTCCATTTATAACACAATAATGTTAAATAACGGTCATAATTTATTATTGCAAATAATTGATGAAAGAAACCAAAATAAATAAATAATAAAAGTGTACCTGTGGCACCACAATCCCAAGGTTCAGAACTCCTAGAGAAAGACCTGCAGAATATTCAAAGTAGCAATGGCATTATGTTGAGCTGATCAAGCAAGATTTTCTCCAATTTTATTTTTAATATGCTCAATTTAATCTCTTATATATATATATATATATATTTTTAACTACTACTGACTCTGTTACAATGTAGTATCTGTAACCTATGCAACACAAAAAGTTTGAACCTATGACTTCTCATTTGAAAAATTCGTAGTTATACCTTATATATAGAAATTAAGAAAATCTCATCATTTTAACTGTATATAGATCGAGTTATTCACCCATTTAAGATTTTTCAAAATTTAATCATTTTTTTTTTTTGCATTAACAAATTTGCTTAGATGAAAATTTTAATATGTAAATAACGATTAAAAATTAAAAAGAATCTGTTATGTGATGACCGAGAGAATGAAAACATAAATAGACAAGTAAATTTACCTTGGCCAGAGCCGGTACTACTTGAAAAGATAGAAGCAAGGGCGAATGGAATACTGTAAGTCACCTGTAAAGCGGACACCACAAAATATAAAAAATAATAATAATAATAAAGAGAAATATAGGAATTTAATTAATTAATTTTTTTGAAAGCCTATATGAATTTAATTAGATTCAATTTTAGTGTGATTTAGCCATCAAGAAATAAATGAGATTAGGTCACTGCACACGTTTCCGAATCTTTGTATCAGATCATCAAAGTATTGTCATTCACAGCTTTCGGTGTTCATTAAATTTGTAGCAGATTTTTTGGATACGGAAAATAAATAAATAATAAATAATTTATACAGCAAGAAGACAAAACAGAGCTTGAAACTAATTTTTTGGAAAGATTAAAACAAAGAAACAAACGACAAAATCAGTGCGTGAATGGTTGTCCGAACAAAGGATAAAACTTATGTTCTAATGGAAACTTTTACATTAGCAAGTCACCCTTTCTAGTATATTGTTTCTTGTAATATAATATACTATACTATAATATAATCTGACCCGTTTCATTAAATGTATTAAAAGAAAGACGATACTAAAAATTACATTCTACAAAAAATATATTATATTTTTACTATCTGCAATAATCGATGCCTAATAAAGGCAATGAATAGGTTGTGAATATATTCCTTATCCTATTATATGATTAAGGGGAATCCTATAAATAAATTATATTTTCGATGACTACTATAGACTTGCACTTGATAAAGGTCATGAATAAGGAAAATATTCGTTATTCAAGTGTAAGATTAAGAGAGATTATATTCCATAAATAGTAACTAATTTAATGTGCCAAAACATAGACAAACCCTAATAAAATACGCAAGGAATATTGAATCCTCACTGCCAATTATTCTTCAAATTCATAACAATATTCTAATATTTTGGGTTTTATTAGAAATTATATATTTTCTTTCTTTTGCATATAGGAAATGGATAATTTATTATACCTTTTTGACCTTATGTTAGAACTTAGAAGTTGTTGATTATAAATAAAAAGAATTATTTTGTATACTTTTTAAAAATAATAATGTTTTAAGACATCGACAATTATTTTGTGTCAAAATAAGATAAACCCAAAGTTAAGAGGTAAAATAGCATTAATTTTCCTCTAAAATAACGAAAATGCCATTATGATATGGTCAAATATTTTTTAAAAAGTGAGGACCTTTTTCTTATCCAAAATTGTCAAAATTAATTTTATAATAATTATATTATTACTATACCAGCCAAGTACCTTGTTGTCTAATTGCATCACTGTTACTATTCTAAACTCATATCAATCAAAGATATTAGCGTAATCATGTTGAACAGATATATGTTATATTGTATTATAACAAAATTACTATTATACCCCCAAGTACTATAAAAAAGAAAAACGGAAAGGTAAAAAGGAATTACATACCGCAAGAGGGATACCGAGAACGGAAAAGAGAGTTAAAGCTCCGGCCCGGGCTCCGGCGGAGGGTGGCATGAGATCACCGTTGGGGGCGAAGCGGCGAGATTTGTCGGCCATTTTGGTGACCAAAATGGTGAGGGCCAAGCAAGCGGCCAAGATGAAGTTGACGCCAGCCCAGAGCTTCTTAACGCCGCCAAATCGCCGCGCGATGAGCTCCACGACGAGGGACATAACGCCGAGAACCACCGAGTTGAGCATGAGCCCCAAGGAGCCCGCCTGGACGCCCTGCTCGTAGAGGCGGCCGTCGCTAGCTTTCCCGTCGGGGTTCCCGCCGTACACCTCCTTGCCCATCCAGTCCGTGTCGAAGAGGAAGAAAGGGAACCATGCAATCCAGTTGAGGCACGTGACGAGCAGCAGGATCCACATGGACCTCGGGAGGTCCCTCAGAGCGCCGAATATTTCCCCGAAGAACGGCAACTTCGATTTCTCCGACGGCAACTTTTCGTCGTCGTCGTCTACTTCGTCCACCTCCTTCGAAAGCTCGTGCTCGCGGACCGTGCTCAGGGCCAGGGTAGTGAGGGACAGTAACAGAGCGGCGGAGATGAAGAAACAGCTCTTCAGGTTGGCGCAGTAAACGTCGCAGGCTTTGGTCTTCGAGAACGGAAACACTTTGTGGAGGCCGGACCACGAGCCGGCGGCGTAACCCAGGATGTTTCCGATCGCCATGAAGAAGGAGAAGAATGAGTTCGCCGTTCTCATCCTCTTCGCTCTCCCGCCGGACAGATCCGCCAGTAATGCTCTACATGGGCCCTGCCAAAAACCAGTAAAATTTTAATCATTTTTTTTATCTTTAAAAATTAATTTGGAGGGAAGAAATTAGGAGAGAAATGAATTGTAATTGTATATGAAAAGAATAAAATGTGAATTCAAATTACATTATTTGGTAAACAGGAAATTAGGTAAATAAAAATTAAAATGTCCTTGTATAATAATAATATTATAATAACAAGGGCAAAATAGTAATTTACAAACTATATAGAATTGCAATTCCTACCGAGAGCTTGTAATTCTATGGAGTTTAGTAGGAATAGAATTACAATTTCATCATACCAAATACCTTCTATGTGTCTGTTTCGAGTTATTTTTAATTTAATTTTTTTTATAATATTAAGTTTATCATTAATATATTTAGAAACTACACTAAAATAATTATTAAGTTTAAAAATATTAAAAAATATATTAAAAAAAATTATTTGTTTGACTAATAAATAATAAATATAATATGTAAAAATAAGATAGTATTTATATGCTTAAATTAAAGTTAAAGTGCAAGCCAAAGACGTTAAAAAAAAAAAGGTTTAAGGGACCACGAGGGGCATTATATTATGTAGAATTTAAAATATGCATGCATATATGATATATATGATACCTGTAACATATTATTTGCGACGTCGAGAATCCAGAAGCCAACGACGAAAACAGCAATAGCGCGTGGCTTAATCATTTTGCCAACGGGGTCGCCGGAGGCGTGGCCGATGTCGGCGGCGAAGCCAATGAGGAAGACGGCAATGGTGACGAGGGAGGCGCCGGCGGCGATGAAGGGGCGGCGGCGGCCGAAGCGGGAGGTGCAGTTGTCGCTGTAATAGCCGACCATGGGCTGCACAATCATGCCGGAGATAGGGCCGCAGAGCCAGATTAAGGGGGCGTATTGGTGCTTGATGCCCAAGAGCTGCACGTAAGGGGTGAGGAGCGAGAGCTGGATGGCCCACCCGAATTGGACGCCGGCGGCGATCGCCGCCACCATTATGATCTTCCACAGCCGCGTCTGCGGCGGCGCCGCCGGAGCGGCTGCTTGGTGGAGTTGCAGAGAGGATTTGTTTGTTTGTTTGGTTTTCATGCCACCGTTCTCCATCGCAATTCTCTCTCTTTCAAAAGATTCTTAGTTTCTATCTATTATAGATACAAAAGTGTGAGGATTTTTCTGGTGAAGTTTGTATTACAGTGAAGGGGACATTGAAGGGGTATTTATAGTGAATTGAAGGCATGTGTCAACTTGCAAAGCCTTAGGCCCAGCATTAAACTCTACCAAATAAAAAAGGAAAAAATTGGGCAAAAAAATAAAATTATAAAAAATAATTAGGCGCCTGTCGAAATATCATTTTTGCCCCTAATTATATCATTCTGACCATTTTGTCCTTTACTTTTATTTTTTGTCAAAAATTTTAATTTTAATTTTTTTGTTATAATCCAACTCGTGCGAATATACTATTGACCTACTCCGTGGAATATAAAAGAAATTCTAATTTTTAATTTAGTCCTTACATTTTTTGTTGTATCAGAAAGAACCCAAGGGAAAGGGAATATTACAATTTAATCCTTCAATTAAAATATCAAAGCTTATATCTTTTTTTTTTTTTTTCAATTGAAATAAACCAATTACTCCCCCACTACGTGTGCAATATTAAAAAATGAGTTAATTTCATTTTTGATCTTAGATTTATATGTGTCATTCTATTTTTAGTCATTTTTATCATAATATCCATTGTCGATCAAAGTATTATTGTGACATGATTGATTTTGGTCCTCCATCACCAAACTTATTATAGTGAAAATACTAGTGGAACCTCCTTAGAGTTTTAGGAGAAGAGTGGAGTAGGCGATTGCTTAACACTAAAAATTTCTATCTCTCATTTACTTTGCTGTTTTTTATTTTCAATACTTATATTATCACATTATATTACAAACTTCCAATAACTCTTTAACTAGACAAAAGTGTGCCAGAAAATTATTAAAAAGCTTTATTAATTAGTTTCCTCTACACACTCTATAAATTACTTTTGGCTAAGTAATTAGGATTTCAACGTCACTCTAAGAAGTTGTGTGAAATGCTTAATTTCTCAAGTTATCTTATTTCAAAAAAGTTTTTGAAATAGTACAAGTCTATCCACCTTCTCTAGACTTGAATGCAAACCCTTCGGGAACATCATAATGTAGTCATTATGGAGGTCTCAAACTCTAGTCCACTCATCGTTAAAATAGTGTCTCTTGCATGATGTGTGCTTGCATACATGCTTTAATGATACTAAATGTCAGTTTACATGAGAGGAGTATGCGAGATACTCGATAAAAGAATTAAATTACCTATGCTAGAGATAAGTGAGACTATTTCAAAGCAGAATTGTATGTGCTCAATTCTTTAGAAACTCTCGCAGAACTAGGTAAGGTGTTCAATGGTCAAACTGGGCACACCTATGAGAACTGCACAACTGTTGGGAGGTTCTTTTGTAAGGTATATCATCGTTTACACAAACAATAATACAATTCAAAAACATTGTGTTATACTAGACAACTAGTAAACTAAATATATCTTTACAATGGAGAGTTAAAGCATGGAAATTTTCTTCACTATATATACATGAATAAGCTAGAATTAAATAGTGAACTTCTCTCAATCTGTGTGTTTAATGTGTTGATGACAAGCTAGCAAATTAAGTATACTATAACTCTTGTGCTAGTCATACCTTTACTATAAATGGACACAAGAAGCCTTGCACTAATGCTCTTAATTGTGCACTGAAATCTTTTACTACACATCTAGCATTCAAGAACAAGAGTAGGTTTGATCTTGTGTTTTGAAAAATATCTTTTTATGATCTTTTGAAGTATCAAAGCATTAACAAATCTTTTTGGAATCTATCCTTAGAGTTTTATTCCCTCATTGTGATATGTCCCCAACAATCAATCATTCATATATTATAAACGTTTCACATATATGGATTAGGGGATTTCCTGCTTTGTATAAATTTTGGAATATTTCTTATCGCACTTGTAATGGCTTATAATTGATACTTTCAAGTTTTAGGATAAACCTTCAAGGAAATTATATATGGCAGCATAAATTATTATTATTATTATTATTATTATTATTATTATTATTATTATTATTATTATTATTATTATTATTATTATTATTATTATTATTATTATTATTATTATTAAATGCACATATACAATATAATCTCAACAACATTTGATGTTTTTGTTCATCAAGGGACAAAAATTACATTTTTTCTGTCTAATTTTATGTGTTTATTTTGGTTAGCGAGATTTATTAGCTCAAATTATTTATAATTTTTTTTATAATATTTAATTTAATGTCAGTATATAAAATTTATATATTTAAAAACTACATTCAAAATACTATTACAAGCAGAAAATCAAATTTAAAAATTATAAGAAATCATCAAAGAAAATAAACATAGAAAAAAAGAATTGATTTGACTGAATAGTAAAAATTATAAATGATATGTAAAATGAGAAAGAGAGTAACATTTTGTAGCTTTTAAAAGTGATGACAAAAATGACTAATGATGTATAATTGACAAACTAAAAAAGATTTATTCCTTGTCATTTTGTTAGTGATGTCCAACTTTTTTTATTTGAGTGAGATATTCCAGAAGTGATATTTAGTTTGTTTGGATAAAGGAATTTGTAGTTATTATTGAAATGCCACAGTATTGGACTTCATGTTGCAGAGAATAATAGTTTTGGATATTTAAAGTAGCATTATTGTAAATGTTATTATAATAATATAAATATCATTATTCCGTTTTTATGAAAAAAAAAAAATTGTTATTCTGTTCTATATGTTATTGCACAATTATTGTGAAATGAATAACAATTCCATTCATGTTACCTGTTTCTGATCCTCGGGACATGTTATGGAGCATTGTATGCCTCACTGCTAGCATAGTTTCGAGCTAAACTAATTAAGGGAGTGTTTGGTAAATTAGCTGTTAGCTGATTACATGAAAAATGATTTTCTCAAAAGATTGATCGAAAAAGATGCTTTGATCAGCTTTTTGAACTTTAGCGTTTTGGAGCAATAAGCTATCACAAAAAGCTAATTAATCAAACCCTTAGCTTATATTAGTTGTTTAACCAAATCAAACAACTATAGTGGTCAAACAAGTCAAAATTGACTGATTAGTTAACTATGTTACCAAGCCTAACACAAAAAGAGAGAAATTAAAAGAAAGAAGAGAAGTGGCTTGTGGTCCACTGGTATTGACTTGCTTCCCTAAGTGGGAGGTGATAGGTTCAAGCCTTCCTCGAGGCAAGTAATGTGTATGTAGGGTATCCCCTTTCTTATTAAAAAAAAACAAAGAAATAAGAGAAATTTTCACTTAAAATTTATGAAGAGTGAAATTTAATAAATAAATAAAACCACATACACGGATACACTGATGCATTTTGTATTTGAAACAAAAAGAAATTATGGAAGATTTTTTTTGCATATGTCACTAGATGTGAGACTAATTTGGATTTAGCTCGAATTGCGCAACTTTTACAAAAAAGAAATTATAGAAATTTTTAAATTATTTTACAAATATATAATTATTAAGGATTGCACCAATTCAATCTCATATATAGTTATCATGACTTTTGTTATCGAGAGTTTATGGAGGAGATTAATGGCGGGATGTATGTGTCTTAGGCTCTCAAGATCGAGTTGAAATGAAATGTACTGCTACCCACAATAAGATCAACTTTATACCTCCTTGTGTTGCCTACAAACATATTATATCCATCTAATTTTAATTTGACATAGAAGTTCTGAAAAAAAAAAAAAAAAAACCCAAGAAATTAAAGTTAGGCTTTCTATTCTATCTTCTACCAAAACTTTGTGTTTTTCAAAGAAATTTTATTTGTTAAGAAGTTTTCCCCTAAGCTCTCGATCTTCCGTGTATTCATTTTTATTTCAAATTGTGTGTGAGAATTATTTTTAAAAATATTTTAACCCATTATAAGGATTCTCACTACAAGTCTAGTGTAAATTCAAATCACCCATAAATAATTTTTCTTTTTAATTTAAAAGAAGTTGCACTTTTGTATTATCTGTCCTACCTGAGGTATCGTCACTTCCAAGTGCTTGCAATGTGCAAAGGACTTTTCCAAGTTCTTCATGTCTCCTATGTTGGCATTTGGCCGCTGGCCACTTCCAAAAAGGGGAATGTATAAATACAAAGTATATAATGAGAGCAAAACAAAAATTATATCAAAACTGGCCCTACTAAACTCATCACCATATTCACTTCTTCTTGGAAATAAAACAAATTAATTGTTGTTTAATGCTTCACTAGTTAATGATTAAGCTTAACTCTATTAACCTATGCAATGATGCCTTAATTATTAGTAACTCCACTTTTTCATTTTATTTAGGAAAAAAGGTGAAATACCCCTGCACTTAAAAAAGTTATAATTAAACACTTTAAGTTGTTATTTTGATGCATCTGAATTCAATAACCAATTATCCACCTAGAATAATTGAGCATTAAGCTAAGGTTCTAGCGATGAAATCGGTGATCGGCAAGCGATCATCAGTCGCCATATTCAGTGAAGAAGGCGACCTCATTGGAGAAGGCATCCGCCGCCGGTCGCCTTTCATTGCCTCATTGGAGAAGGCGACCAATTGGTCACCTTCATCGATTTGAAGAAGGTGACATGCCTGGTCGCCATCTCTACTGGAGAAGGCGACCAGTTTGATTGCTTTCTCTACCAGAGAAGTTTACCACTTGTCGCATTCTTCTTCAAGAATGTCGGTTGGTCGCCTTCGTCAATCGAAGAAAGCGATCAGTCCGATCACCTTCTTCAGTGAAGGTGAATAGTGCGGTCGATTTCTGTGTCACCTTTTATTGTAAAGGACGGCGGTCAACGGTGACTTGCGACATTCAACGAGGCCTAAATACCACATCATCAAAATTTTATTGGTAACCAATTATTGGTAAATAGGACTTATTTGGCATATTTTTATAAATCAAAGTGTTTAATTGTAACTTTTTAAAGTTCAAAGGTCTAAATATTTTTTTGTATAAAATTTAGGGGTCTATTTGTATAAAATTTAGGGTCCCTTTTATTATAAACTTTACCCTCCTATTTACTTTATTACCAATTTTATTTTGCCTTTCAGGTTTATTATTATAATAATATAAT